CATAATATAGTACACATTTCGACAGTGCAGAGATGAGTAATAATTTTTATTTTGCCGCGAGTCCATCTAAAACCAACAAACTTACAAATACCATAGATAACGTGAAACGAACACAGCAAAGGTCAGCTTTGTTCGATATGTATCAACAGTGCGTTCACAACTGCTAAGTTATATTACGAAAAAAAACAACAGAGAGTACTAAAAAGAAAATGCTGTAGGTTTGATTGGTCCGGATCCGGGTTTAACATAACCAGACCTCTTGGACACACATGCCTACGGCTTCCGAGGAAACCCCGCTGATGTTTTTCCTACTTGTCCTGCACTCGAACTCGGAAGAATCGTCAATGCTGGAAGATATTCATAACGTACGTACAATTTCACTCTAAATCCCCCAAATACTAACAAAAGTGTGTCCGAGCAGCAAGTTTTGTATTAGGACAATCTAAACCACTCATAACTGTAAATAAAACAACTTTACGAGCAAAAGTGTGTGTTTTAAAGATATTATCGCGTCAATGATGTTATCGTTGCAATCTTACCTTTTTAGAAGTATACCTCACTCCCGCGTCCCTGTAGTGACCACTGGATGGTCTCGACAACTGTACCGTGGCACAGGTGAAGATTTTGACTCTTCTTTATCTTGTTTATCTGTCCACGTGATCAGTGTAGTCCTAGATGTACGTAAATGGGGTCGCCTATTTGTTTGACGAATCTACGTTGACCAGCAACCTACGAATAATCATAATCATGCATCCTTTGCTGAAATCCGTCCTTAACAAAATTGTCTCATGTATTCCTATCTATTTTCATCAGTTACAGTGCGCCGTAAGTTTTGCGGTATCAGAAGGGGTAACTGCATTCTACCATATGTAAATACCAAATAAGGAACGATTATACGTTCTAATTTGTTTCCGAGATGTGTGCGCGTTTCAAAGCCAGCCACATAGCGATAAAGTTGCAATAATTGTCACCACCTTTACCAGTTATGGAAAAACAAACATTATAAAACTCGGTCCGTGTGCTTCCCAATACAATATGGCTGGGAAACGATAAGATCGGTATTATGATGATGCCATGCACTCAGAAAATACCGTCACGTGACCAGCTACGTGTGGGCGATGCTCACCGCTGTATTGTGTCCGTGCATAGTTTGTGATGTAGCATTTGAATTGCTGAGAGTTTAATACGTAGACACTATAAGAAATAATGTCAAACAGATATAAGCCGCTATACTCAATAACAAAAAATAACAAATTTGCAAAATTGTTTTTACTTGTCAAAGTGTATTGCACTTGTGCTACTCTCATCTATAATGCGATTATATGATTATTATTAATACTCAAATACTTGACGGTGGTGTTTTTGTGCTAACTATCTTTCTAAAAGTCCAAGGTCGTTATGAGTATGTCAAAATTGTTGTTATCATTGACGTTATATAGGTTTAGTAGGATGCATACCTACGGAGCTAATCAATGAATGAATGGGTGGTTATTTCGCGATTTATTAAATGTATTAGTGACAACTTGTTCAGCATGGGGTTAGGGAAAAGATATTAATCGCCATCAAGTGGGCCAGCTTGTGTTGGTATTCGCCTGTCATATCCAGTCTTAGCGACGCCACATGTTGAAATAGCTCGTGATTCAACATCTAACTTTGTTAGCGAACTTGACATTTTATAAGTTACTGATCTCGCCGCTACACCTACGTCATTGACGTATATTTAAGCCAAACGCGGCGATATGATCACGTGACCACATATGGGATTGGTGGAGGAGTGCGTATAATAGAATTGGTCGCTATAAACGCATGAATCCTTACAAACGTAACCACTTGCGGCAATGTTTGATTATGCATATTACCGAGTCAATGGTGACATGGCCGTACTCGTTGTTACCTTTATCGCCACATTGTGCAATACAGTGGCTCACTGAAGATGATGTTACTAAATAGTCTCGATCCTAACAACTATAGCGTGACCCCTGTAAATAACTCCCATTATCAGCTTATATATGCAATCACGTGACAGTAGTAAGCTCACATACGTGTGACTCGTGTAATCTGATATTATCTATTTATTGCTCTTGCTATCTATGTTTCATGAGAAACAAAATTAATGCGTTTCTCCCGATGTATTAACTATGATTAATATGTTGTTTTTTATCTTTTAAATTTAAGTGTGATGAATGCTCCAATTATAATTGATGTCTGGTGTTTTTATCCTAACTATTTTTCATGAAGCCCAAGGTCGTTATGAATTCGTCAGAATTGTTGTTATAACTGAAGTATTCGTAAGATGCATAAATGATAGGACAATAAGTAAATGGGTGAATAAGATGCATAAATGAAGGGCCAATGAGTAAAAGCATGATTAAGATGCATAAATGAAAGGCCAATAAGTAAATGGGTGATTAAGATGCATAAATGAAAGGCCAATAAGTAAATGGATGATTAAGATGCATAAATGAAAGGCCAATTAGTAAAAGGATGATTAAGATGAATAAATGAAAGAATATGTAAAAGCATGATTAAGATGCATAAATAATAGGCCAATTAGTAAAAGGATGATTAAGATGCATAAATAATTGGCCAATTAGTAAAAGGATGATTAAGATGCATAAATAATAGGCCAATTAGTAAAAGGATGATTAAGATGCATAAATGAAAGGCCAATTAGTAAATGGATGATTAAGATGCATAAATGATAGGCCAATGATTGAATGGATGAATATGCAACAATTAATCAATTCAACCACCACCGTGACACTACCACAACAACAACAATTTTAAATCATCATCAGGTGGACGAGTGTATATCAATGCTTCCCGTCACATCCCGTCTTTGTTACGACATCAGATCACATCGTCACGTGATCACATGTAGGTTACTTTGGAACCATTTAATTTCACTGTTTTGATGCTTTGGGTTTTAACAGTGTATTGTTGTTGTGTATTATTAAATGAATTTATGGACTTCATGATCTAAGTATGAGATTGTACGATACGGGTTCAACACCTCATTACCAAAGAAAAGTCTATACGAGTTTCTGTCATGCGTGAAGGTGTGATCACGTTTTTTAACATTGAATTTTTAAATAGACCAGGTTCCCACTCGAAGAATATGTGTCATAGTTATTTTACTTTCTGGTCAAAAGAAGTAGAAATAATTATTCCTGATAATAGTGTGGGATTTGTGTATTATTTTCTTTGTAGAAAACAAAATGTTATTGAACAACAAAGTAATGTTTAAAATACATTAAAATATTATAAATAATATATGCACATCGTTATTGAAATGTAAACTTATTTACTTTCAAATTACTGGACATTTCTATCAGAACATTGACTCAAAATACAGAACACATAGAGTTGTTACTAAATTTAATTGATATGTAAACTCTATACTAACTAAGCATGCTATTCCACAATACCACTGTGTGATTTGTGTAATTCCTTATGCCACACACGAAAAATGATGAATTTCAAAATACCCATCATAATGTCCACGTTCGGATACAGTGTCTAAAAACTTAAAAATTCGTTTATTTATTTATATAATTTGCATTTACCATATACGTGGAATCAGTGAACACTGCTCGTTATATGCCCGTCATGTGACCGACCACTTCTTGTATGCAGGATTTATATAATCACAAGCACATTTCATTTTAAGATTCGTTTCTCCTTAACATTATCTCTATGTACTGTGTTTTCTTTAAAGGACATAGGACCTGGTATGCAATTGACTTACAAATGCACATAAACATAACAAAATGACAATATTTCCCGACTACTAGTATTCTATACGCCAATAAATAAGTGGTTGGTCACCCACTTGGCTGAACACAGTTTTAATATTTCGTCATATGGTGTTTTGGGGTAGAAACAATAAGTTGTTCAATGATTTCATCTTCAGTAAACCCCTCTTTCGTCGCATTCTCTACATCTCTGGCAAACTCACATTTCTCGAAACACGGCTCAGTCAGAAGGATACTAAAACTGATAAGAAACACGAACCCCGATAATAAGATTGCTGCACTGAAGCTGCCGGAATTGCCAACTATTGAACCTATAAATGAAAGAAAATAAACGATCAGTTGATTTCTCATGTATACAACTATATTGGCTCACGTAAGAATGAATGATACTGGTACACTAATGTCAAGTTCATTTCAACAATGACAGTTTAACAAAATGTACAGCTTAGTCACAGAGTGTACACATTTCAACCTTGTCAAGATGTTTCGAACTACAGCAAACACCACTATAATTTGTCTTGGATTGAATTCAGTCAGTGGCCTTGCTCACAGTATGTCTTTACCACTATTAGACATTTTTTCTAGGTAATACGTTTTCATTACCAATGTACATTAGTCAGAATCTTCGTGACAACAAATTGTGTTTTGATTTGATGGTACCTGATACAGTATGAAATGAAATAATCAGGTGCTAGAAATGCCACTCTGTTTGATTATGTTAAACTGTTGAACACGAGGCAGTTTTGCTGTATACTAGTATATCAAAATGGGCACAATTTTTTCAAGTTTATATGATTTTGGTGTGGAACTTTGAAGATATTCTGCGAATCTTACCTCCAATAATTGGACCAAGTAGTAGCCCAATACCACAGCACATCATGGACAACCCCATTGCAGATTGAAATCTATCAGGCCCTACCATCCTTCTAAAAATAATAGGCGGGAGTACGCCCAGGGTTGCCATAAATATCCCGAACACCACGGCATAAAGCAACAGAACTATATAAGCCTTCCCGAATGTAGAACCAATAGAGATTATAGCAAAGATGAAAATGTCAATACAAAATATTTTGTACGGTGAAACGCACTTGGTGAGAAAACCGAGGATAATCCTCGATATGAAGTTGACGATGCCAACGATCGCCATCAATATACCAGCCTTTGTACGACTGGCGCCAGCTGCGAGGGCTCGTGGCATCAAAAACGACATAGCGATGGCGGCGGCGAATCCGATAAACACAAATACTATACATATCATGACATAGCGATAAAAGTCTTTACATAAAGCAAGGTCACAAATTTTTCGTTTGATGTTTTTCGGTTTTTCATTCGCTGTGTATGTGGATTCTAAACTTTCCAAACTAGATTCAATGTCAGAAACTTCATCTTCAGTGTCTTCGTCATCGTATCTATGGCGACGGGGTTTATCAGTCGACATTGGAGCTGGGCGATAAAACGAAGCACCTACGCACATATTCATCATTAAGGCACCGACGATTATAATAGAGCCCCTCCATCCAAATTTGCCGATGAGTATGCTACAAAGCCTTGGGAGGATTATGGTTGCGAAAGCAGGTCCAGTCAGAGCCATTGAGCTTGCTACAGAGTGTTTTTGATTGAAGTAGTGACCAATAATCGCCATGCTCGGTACCATACCTAAACTACATCCAAAACCTGCAAATATAAAGAATAAATCATGGCGCCACTGTGGTGTTTCATCAATATGATATTATTTCATTTAGTCCACAACCTCCCTTAAGGTAGGGGAGGTGGGTATAGCCGGGGATGAAGTTCATATATTTATATTGTTTAAGTGGTTAAAAAAAGTACAATTTGAGGTCTGATGGATCAAGGGGTTTTTGGTGTACCATAAAATATATTACATTTGAAAAATACACTCCGTACAAGGTTCCGAGATATAGTGCATTAACGCATACAAAGTTTCTGAGACGAAAATTGTCCATAGAACCATAGATAAATAAGCATTATTTTAGAAATTAAAGTCATCACATGAACTTGGCGTGAGGTAAGGTAAGGTGATAAGCATTTTCTCCGATAATCACTTGAAGCATTTTGAATCAAATATATGCTGCGCTGAGGTTTCCATCAATAATACAGAAACAGTGCGTAAATTTAAAAAATCTAACTTTTATCAAATTTGTTGAAAAATAATTATAAAATTACTAAGTCCATTACAATTTGTATTTGTAAGTTCAATATTGGGAACATTTTAATTTTATTTAAATTTGAATATGCATGGGTTTTGCATAGTTGAAAAATCGGTGAAAAAAACATGAATAATATTGAACGTTGAGACTTTTTCTTATAAAAGTAACCACTATAAAATTGATATCATGAAAACAAGTGTGCATATGATACTCGCCATGTTCAATCTTACTACCAATTTGAGTAAAAATCGGTTGTGCATATTAGAGATTTGGCAAACATATGATTTTGAATTTTGTGTCATAAAAGCCGCTACTACGACGGTCCACTATCAATCATACATATTTGTATCCATTATTCATCTATCCAGTACCAACTTTGAATAAAATTGGTGCTCCGTTAAGAATGAGCGAAAACATGTAACTCATTATGTTTTCCACCAAGTATGAAAACATGCATATTCGAGAGTTGAATTTATATAATTTTAGTTCTATTTGTTTAGCAAAATTTAATTTTTTGTTAAACAGCAACTGCTATGAATATCATTGGTAGCATTTTTCATCTATTCGCCATTTGTCTCTAACATCAACTCATGGACTAGAACGATATTGCATTCATCTCCCTCCTTTTTGAGGTGACAGGAAATCATTTTGTCGCCAGAGGGTGCAACATGATCTTGAAACCCCACCGAAGTCGTACCTGTTATGATTCCGAGTGAAATACAGAGAAATCCTATGCCTGAAGCGAAAGCGCTTATAACTAGCCCGAACATAGAAATCACACCGCCAAGAAATACGACTGGACGCGTTCCAATCTTGTTGGCCATGGCAGAACTTATAGGACCTGTAATAAGAAAAAACATTCTCTATTGTAATATGTAGTCATTATACTGCGAATGACGTCAGTTGATAATTTTTATGTAAATAGAGATGCTCGACCGAATAACCATTGTAGTGAATTCCAGCATACAATGGTTTGGGCACGGTTACTAAAATGGGACAGGTAGACTATTTCTTGGGGGAGAGGGTGTAAGTTATATTCATAAAAAGAACACTGGGAACTACGCGTACTCTGATTTAAATTGATTGCTAAATTAAACAATATTCTGCTCTAATAATTTAAAATGCTACCCCGACGAATAAATACATGCCTGCCCCTAGTGGTGGATGGTATGTTTAGAATGTTCGCACTTACTTAATAGGAACACCATACTGAAGAAAAGAGCTCCAAGAATTGACACTTGCTTGGCGTCCGCGTGATAATAACGACGGAATTCGAAGAAAAACACTCCAATGCATTGAGGAAGACCAGCCGCCAAAAATAACACAATAAAAGCTCCGAATGTTACAGCCCACCCCCACCCCCCGTCAGGGGGGTTATATAACGTTGGTGTCTGCATTTCTGATAAATTGATGTGGCTCAACAAATAACCTTCTCGGTCTGGAAAAAAAAACAATAGATGACGTCACCAACAAACTGTACATGCTCTGGGGTAATTAGCTACACTGACGGACATTTCGAGCATTATTTTGAAATGTCGTCTGAGCTTCTCATTGAATTATACAGTGTTGGTAGAGTTTTAACATGCATCGATGAGAAAATTAGATATATATTTAAGCATTGAAAATGGCCCTAAGAAGGTACGTGTCTTGTCACAGGTAAATTTTTATGTGGTGTCGGCATTTATTGGTTCACTGTGCGGTGTAATGATATAGCATGGTGAATGAGGTAAGCACCTGATTATAGCGATTTTTCGTGAATTGCAACATCATAATCGTGTATTTGTCTGATTATATAAACAAATGTAACTACGCCGTTAATACAGGGACATGTCATATACAGGTACAGGTGGTATTTCGCGTTATAAACACCTGACCCAAAGTTCACTCGACCTGAATATATTCAATCACCACGTTATTTATCTCTTGTGCGACGAAACCTTCGTGCAAGTACCCGTTGAACGGGACTTTTACTTGCCTCCATTTTCAATGAGTAAAAGTTACATACCTTGGTTCTAATTCCGCTTCTTAATTCATATACCATCAGCTGTATGCCAAAGTTTTGTTATTAATTTACTAAGTTCAGATACCACATCGTCAAAAACATCAATTTTATAGATTGGATCCACGGTCAGTGTACTTTGTTAATAATTAATCGAAATAATAACCCGAATCTTGCGTGGATGGTTGTGAGCAAACCTTGAGATGAAAAGTCGCCTGCATAAAATACAAGTATGACCTACCATCCCATAATATGCACGTCTATAGATGGACTAGTCCTGTCCTTGTTTATCACTGATAGCTGACCGTTCATGATGACATTGATAAGGACAAGAATGATTTGTTTAACTTAGCATCATTCAAAGTTGGCTGGCGACTAGAGTGTACAGAGTTCAACAAGTTGCTTATTTTTAAGTCTGGAATTTTGTAAATACAATAATCAATACGCCTTCAGTTATATATGTGCTGTGAAAACACACGAGGGTTGCAAATACACAGTATTTTGTTACGCACAAAACTTTAGTGCCAAATGTGGCGAAAGAATTGTTCAATGAGAATACTTTAACGTTGACACGATGCTCTACTACAGACGTTCTCAAATAGAGAATTGAGACACTGTAATCAATGTTACAAACAAACTTGTGATTAAAATGGTTATCTGGGTTCTTTATTCCAAAAGTTAAAAGTTCGCACACTGGATTAAAAACGATAATGTATTAATATGTATGTGTGGGACACACTCATATGTATCAATAATGAAGTGTTACATTTTAAGTACCTTACTGACTCACAAAACATCGCCATATATACATAGACATGAACTGCAGTTGATGATTGGCTAAGTTGACACTCTTAATTAGAGGGCGATACACTTTTTAGTTCGATGATGTTAGTTACCATTCCCCTCAACCCACTTCCTCAACCTCCCCTCCAATATCTAGACGGCATATTGAACATATAATTTAGAGTGACGATGATCGATAAGCCCTTCTTTCTTGAACGATTTTCTTTGGCCTTCTTCCACAGTTGGTATCTTCTGCACGGCAGCGCTGTACTAAAGTTGGTAGTATTAGCAGCAGTACCATTCCGAGTAAAGCGCCACCAACGTAGAAAGCCAAGTCATAGGTCCCGGTTGCGTCAAAAGCAACACCTATTGAAAACAAAAACAATAAATGGTTAGCAAAACTCAGAAGCAAGAAAATGAATCTACACAAAAGTTTCTTTTTTATGAAATTCCTCAAATAAGACTACATCTCAACATTGAAGAAAGTTGAGTCCGATTGTATGGCATTGCTTCACAAAGCTAAATGCAAAATCTGTACCTCAAAACGTCAATAGATATTTTCTATGTAATTTAATTTGCTTTATCGTTTTTTTTAATGTGCAATTGTACAGGTACACTGGAATTTAAAATAAAAATGAGGATTAGTCCTAACCTCCCTCATAAACAATAAACATTCGCACGCATAGATTAAATTATGTTGGTAGAATTTGTAATGCCATGGTCACCTGTTAAAACGATTCCTACGAGTTGACCCACGCCGAGCAATGGAAGACACAACGTCATTCTAGGAGTTCCGTCGGATTCCTTGACCATCTTCGAAGCAATGTCATCTAAAGTTGTCGTTATGACGGTTTTGGCAAATCCGTGTACCACAGCGAAAGCAAACAGAACGCCTGCTGTAGTCTTCAGTGGGATGGCACAGCTCCCCAGTGTTGCTATGGCAACGGATATAATCAGGATGATATACGGAGAAAAGTCGAATGGATTTAAAGTTATCACCGTGTGAGACAACAGTGCGCCCAGTGATAACATAGGGATATAAAAGACGACATACACCTCATCCACATTGGATTCGATGGCATAAGCAGTTAAATACACAGATGGAATAAACAGTGCCATCCCGACAAGCACGTGTATAACAAGGTATAAAATATACATCGGTGTCTTCCTTATGATAGCTAGTTCATTCACCAGTGGGTAGTCCACCTTCGGCGTGTTTCTATCATGTCCGTTGATTAGGTTTTGATTCTCCGTTACTGTATTGCCTGCGGCCATTCTGTAGCTTCCATTCAGGGAAGTCGTGCCATTTCCAAACATTGATGTGTTCTGCTTCTCGGTGGCAACTAGCGGTCTCTTCAGTAGAATGGAGAACACGCAAATATTCAGCATCGAGGCGCATAGCAGCAGGAGAGCGCCATACCAATCGTAAAGTTGTATAAAGAAGTTCGCCACCAGCGGTAATATGATACCACCGAGGGAAGCGCCGGTGTAACACACCAACCTCCTAGTGTTCTGGCTGGGGTTGTCTGCTTTGAATTCGATGGACGACAGTGCAGATGATATAACGAGTCCTAGGCCGATACCTAGAAAATAATAAATAACTACTTTTAGTGATCTTATTAATGGTATTTAAGCATAAAAATGTATATAATTCAGAGGCGGAGGCATGACATTTTGCGTGAGGGGGGTCTGCTCACAATCCCTCGCTCCGAATTTTGAAATCTAGACCCTCTGAAACGCTATTTCCTGCATTTTGAGGGACAAACGTTGCTGACATACATAACATAAAACAACGGGTTTCAGCTTGCTTTTGGGGTGGA